AGTGAAGCCATGAATCATGCGGTCCAAATGTTTATCAACTTACGATCTTTTAAGCAGTGTCGATTTCATGTTGATTTAAATCTGTTTCTATTATCACACAAAGTTTATGTTAACTGATACATCACCCAGCTTAGTATGTTGATATACGTCGTGTTTGCCTCACAACCAAGATTTTGATGAAAGCAACCGACGAAAAAAATACGACAATTATTGTGTTCATATATATATATATATATTGTGTGATAAGAATTTATAATAAGTTTAACCAAAAGCCTATATCAGTAAAGTCAAGGTTAATACGTAACCATAGTAACATAAACATATTGTGCTGAAAATCTGACATTTTCTCACATCAAGGAGTTTGCTGATAGCAACTGACGACAAGACTACAACAACCATAGTGTTTATTAACATTAACGACAGGCCATATCTCTGTGATTGCTTGAACATCGTCATCCATACAGACGTCCAATATTTCTATTTTTCTAATTTTTCTATTTCATTTCATTTATTTAATTTTAAGCAGTGAACATCCAGTGCAGCCGGCCTTCCCAGTTTTCCTCATTATGTGATAGTACAGACAGAAAAAAGTGTAGTTAGTAATATCTTATATCTCTTTGTTTTGATCTAATACCTGTACTGGAGTAGATCATCTTTATACTATTTTGGTCACAGATTATTGGTCCCATTTTATTCATACTTAGACAAATACAAATACCGATATGTGAATTGAGAGGGGCTATTTCTGTGAGGCACGTAATATCATGCAGTGGCTATTATCTATAGGGGGATTCGTTCACTTATATACATTTCATGTGTATAAAGATAATGTAAAAATAGATGTAATATTCATCATGAAATGTAATATTATTGGATGTACTTCATATCAGGCAATTTGTCTATGTATTGTGCTATTTTATTCACATAAAAGAATTATTTTAAAACAATTATTATTCCAATACCTTTCATCCGGCGTTGTGCGTCGTGCGTCCGTAAACAATTTAACACTTTCGACTTCTTCTCAAAAACCCCTAATACGATTCCAATCAAATTTTGTGGAAACCTTCCTTGAAGAAGATGAACCAAAATTGTGATTTATACAGTCCCCATCCCAAGAGGCCTGAGGAGTCGGACCAAAAGGTGTCAAATTGACTCGGATTTCGAAACTCTTCGTCTCAACACCCAGATATGATAGAGTCAAATACTCTTCACGAATGGAAGCATCGTAAGGTGCTTTACCCAAATTGTGAATTTCATGGCCCAGGGGTCTCACATATCTTCGTGGGGAGGGGGTAAAGTTAACTTTAGTTTATATAGGAAAACTAGATTTTTGAGCACAATTTATTCAATTTCCATTGGAAGTATTTCAAACTTGGTTAGAATTAAGAGTAAAGGATGACGGCTTGATGGTTTGCCCATATCGATCCAGGGACTGAGGGGTGGGGCCAAAGTTGGTAAAATTGTCAAAAATTACAAAATTCTTCTTAAGATTCAGATATGGTAGAATAAAATGCCCTTCATGAATGGAATAATTTATGGTGCTTTAATTACCAATGTGAGTCTCACATTTCTTTCTGGGGAGGAATTTTTGTTTAAGACTTTACTGTAATTTTCATAGAAAAAAAAAACATTTTTGAGCATAACGTTGGTTATTTCCCACTGGAATTAACTTTATAAGAATTATCAGTATAGGGTGACAGTTTTGATGGGATGCATGTATTGACACTGGCTTACTATATACAGTGTCACAATTTCTGTTACATGACACTTGATAAATATCATTTAACATTTATATTCAATATTGCTAATCTCAGTCAACCGTCAAGGCCCTTAGCCTCTTGTTTGTAGTATGTAGTATAAGATCTATAGTACCAGAAAAATAGGTAAAAAAACATAAGTATAGGAACTCAGGTGAAATATATGGTTAGTATGGAAATTACTTTGCTTTAAAAGTGGGCAAATCGGGAACTTCCCATGCTACTCTGATTCCCTGCACTGAAGGCTCAATGCTTCATCTGACCAATTTGAGAGTCTTTGCAAGGTCACACCTTCATGGCTCATAACAGGTAACAGGCAGGTGTGGGTAGGGAAGAGATCAGTCATATACTTCGTTTTACCTGTCCCTTGTTACGTCATGCTGTGTACTCCTGCCAGTCTGAGACGACCATATCTCTGCTCTGTGAGCTACTCCACCTTGTGGGAGAAAAGCATAGCGACGGATCCAAGATGGCGAATTTCCCTTAGCAACGCCGTAAACCTAATGCCCCATAGAAACATATATGGACTAAGACCACAATTAAATACTTCCGGGTTCAGTACCCACGAATGAAGTCCCTAAAAAATGTATGTATATTTGGGAAAAAAATAATATGCCTTTTTGAATTGGATTTTTGCCTATAAATTTGATGTAGATGTGTTATAGAGATGATAATCTAACTGTCAGTGTGTAAATCATTCATATTGAACATGTATTTTGTGCTGCAGGATCCGGTGTAAAAAGTCCTGTTTTCACCTTTACCCCTGACCCGGATGTATATAATTGACGTTGGTGACACACATGGAGGTATATCTCCAGAAAATGCCCAACATGGTGGGTTGAAACTTTTACATTTTGCTTCTCAGATGTTGATCTTGGCCAGGTGAAATGGAAATTTGCAGATGAAACTTTGGGACTTAGTTATGAATTTTAATGTTACAATGAAACATATAGTGAAATTAATTGTGGTCTTAGTCCATATTCATCACGGCGAGGTGTGACGTATTAACTCACCTTATTGTCGCCCCTGATACTAATTGTCTCCCTTGTTCTGTTTGCCGTGTTACACGTACGCCATCCTATGCTATTCGACTGAGTGGTTGGTTTTGACGACGTCATTGATATTTTTTAGCTACAGTAAAATATGTAATTCGACTGACGGGTTGGTTTTGATGACGTCATTGATGTTTTTAGCTATAGTAAAGAATGTAATTCGACTGACGGGTTGGTTTTGACGACGTCATTAATGTTTTAGTTATAGTAAAGTACGTAATTGGACTGACAGGTTGGTTTTAATGACGTCATAGATGTTTTTAGCTATAATAAAGTATGCAATTCGACTGACGGGTTGGTTTTGACGATGTCATTAAGTTTTTGGCTGTACTGTATAGTGTATAAATCATTTTTTTTACAACGGAATATGACTTGTATGGCGTGTATGGCGTATTTTGGTGTGTATATTGGTATTTTGCAAGCAAGAACATAACTTTAATTATTATATGCATGAAATTTTCTCGAAATCGCATTGGCTGGATCCTATACAAGTGAGCAGTTCTCAAAAACTGATGAGGACTGGTTTTCCGGTGAATATCGATTTCTAAATATAGCCTAAATGGAAATTCCCTACAGCTTGTCGCAGTGCCTGCGCAGTTAGACCGGAACGCGATCTGTCAGACGATCACAGACGTTGCGATGGCTGCCGGCGAACGTTTCGCCTCTGTTACAGATGAGGGTTTTGGACAACTGCTGGAGGATAAAGATGCTGTAAACACCAAAAAGGCAACCGAGCACGCAGTGCGTGTTCTTCATTCGTATTTCAAGGAAAAAAACCTGGATCTTGAACATGTAATAAAACAGTTATGGACTTCTGTGCTGGTAAATATGATGTGATATGAATCTTCGCCTCGGTCAATATCATTTTTTCAGGTTCATATCACATCATATTCACCAGTACCGAAGTCCATAATTGTATATTGATCTCTTTATTACGAAATATTACTATTTTCCTGAGAGAAGAAAACACAAAATTATAACAAATGATCACATTTTGTACTTGCAATATTTACATTTTTCACCTACACCATTACATTTTAAATATTTTTTCTCAAAATATGTAACGATGACAATACAATCAAACTTTTGCTGCAATTTGCTGTTGTTTTACTGTTGTTTGCTGCTTGCTGCTGTTTCCTGTTGTTTGATGCTATTTGCTGCTTGCTGCATCTTACATTTCTTATTTGCAAAACTCTACTTACGAAATACATTTTTGGCCCAGTATAGAAGAAACAGAAGGGAACCTCAGGGTACAACGGTCATGGACCTGTTTGCTGTCGGGTCTTCTTCCCTGGCTTGTAGCATATAGAACTCTGTTAGGTAGTACAATACGGACAAACAGTTCTCGATATTTTATACAGAACTGTTTATTCAACACTGGTTATAAGGTCAAAAAGTAAACACAACACAACCTGCCATGTAGAAAACTAGAATCAGATTACACACAATTATACTCAACACACAACACACAACTATACAAACCAACTAAACCACCCAAGACCCACACCACCACCCCTACCACATCTCACATCCTGTATAAACAGTACTTTTACTCAAACCGTGGGATGTATATAATAAAATATAGGTTAGATTAAACAACCTTCTTCCTCTCTATCTATACTCAAGATGTAACCAGTTAGAATTAACACATTACTCCTGCTAAACACAACCATCCTACCTGCGCATGCGTAAAGACTATTTCTCTTTTCAAAAACTTCTATCTATATTAGACGGATGGGACTTTAAACGGTGGCCCGTGTGGGGATTGTCCAATGTCGTGCGTTAAAGATCCGTCTGTGGTTTCCTGAGAAAAGTAGACGTGATAACGCCGGTCTATGGGTCTAGAGATAATGTAAGACTATACAATTATTTTAAGGCATTAGACGGAGTTCAAAATTACCCTAACAGAAACCAAATCAGATAGGCCACCAACTCGTCCTTTCAGCTTATAGACAAATCAGAAAAATGCGACGAAAGGACTCGTTAGCCAACAACCTCCTTTCGAACCTATCATACGCTGTAATTTATGAGTTATTGAAAGTGGGCGTCTCCAGTACACCACAGGTAAAATCTTGCTGAAACAGGTCGGTAGTTAGAGGGAGCTAGCGTGAACTAGTTTTACCTACAGCAAAAGCTATTAGATTGGAGTCTACACAACATACCTGCCGGGTGTGAACTGTCCATTCTACGTTTTCAATTTATTTCGGCCTACAGCCTTGAATTGTTGTTATCGTGTCAGGTGTGTCTGTCAGTACGTAAGATGGCCGTCAGTGAGGAAAAATTCATGGAGTTATACAAAAAGGCCGATGTTAAAAATAACGGGTTTTTAACGGTTGTGCAACTCAAAGATATGATCAAGAAGGAATTATGCAACACCATCAGCGACGAAGATGTGACGGTAAGACTATTTTTAGTTATGACTTTTAAACTCCTAGCGTAGTGTACAACGCAAGTTCTTCGTGAGCAGTCTGGGCTCTTTATTTAACGAATTTATAGCTATTTGTTAAACGGTTTAGATGTACTTATGGTTAAGAGCCCAAATTATCACATTCATTTCTCCGATTGAGTGTATTTTATTCGGAAACATGTCAGAGAATTCTTTTGTCACTTGTTTACGGGGTTATTCGCCCCGTCAAATACTGATTATAAACACCTCTAATCAACACCCCGGGTTAAACAGCTCTAGACCGAATATTTCTCTCTCCAGAATGATAATAAATGTCAATATTCACATCTATTTTAGAGACAGATCGAGTTGGTACTAAAAATTGTATTAAAAGTGGTAGGAATACATCCACAATGGATTTGGGGAATTAAACAATTGTTCCTGCGACGTACCCAGAAAACTTGAGCAAATTTATTAGCCTCACTTGTTTAGACTTTACAGCTTGCTGTAGTAATGCCATTTTAGTGTGTGCCTTTTCTCTCTCCGCCATGACCAGTTTTACTAATAACAGCTTTGCCTCGCCCAATAGCACTGGACAGTATATATTAAACTGTCATTTTAGAGACAGAAATTGTCGGCCTAACTCAGCTCTACAGAATGAGTTGTAGTGGCTGTTATTAGACTTACCAATCAGATACCAGAACCCTGAATTAATACGTTATATTACAGTATATACAATGATATCCCGACAAGCCTGTCAAATTTCAGTATAACAAGGCTTACTGAAGGTAAGACCACCTGTTGGCTCTACAGATCAGGACGAGTAAATTTTGTATACATGTGGACACTTAATCTCTTTGATATCAGATGTCGTTCATTTAGAGATTTGAAGATTTTTTTTCTTGAAATTTACTTGATAATGTTAGTTTGCTGTACATTCAAATCAGATTTCGATATTATAGAAAGATATTCTTCAAACTCTTTTCAGCAGAACTAAACAGGTTTTCGGAGATTACAAGTCAATAGGCCCTTGTCGCCAATCACTAACTTAAAAATAGACGGATAGGCAATTGCCCCAAATCTTCGCCTGTGTATTGTGTAATTGCGCGGAGAAGCGTGACGACTTGCTTCCCACACAATCAGAATGACCGAGCGGTCTTGTAATCGTAACATCTTGGAGAAATTTCTGGGTATGTTTTCCGAAGATCCCCGTAAATTTTTCCGGGTTGTGATTGAATATTATTCGATAAAAGTAACCTAATTTTCTTTTGTTTTATCTTAACGTAGATTTGCCATCACAAGAATTGAAATTATTTTATGCTTTTGTCACCATGTACAGTGATACTGTAAGAAATGGAGTGATATATTCAAGCTATGGAGCACGGCGCACAGTTCATTCTCTACTGACATGCTGGGGCGGTTATATCATCAGAGAGCTGAGATATCAGTGCGCGTAGCTTGCCGTTGTGATTGTGTCCTTTACGAAAAGAAAGAAAGAACATGAAAAGGAATATATCTACATAACATTTGAATTCAGTGCAAAATTAATGAAAAGATATCAAAGTGTGAACAAAGGAACGAGTCAAATAGAATCCTTTTCTGCTGAATGAACGACATCCACCATGTAAATATTGGTTAATCCATGTATCTTCATACAGATCACAAAATTAACCAAATAAGGAGTTACTTCCCCTTTCAATATTTTATAGTTATGTAGCATATGCATAAAATAAAAGGATTAACATAAATGTTTACTATAACGTATACATTTTACATGCTGTTCCTACTTGGAATATTGTAGGCTATTTTCTGTGCCATTGACAAAAATGGAGATAATAGAATCACCTGGGAGGAGTTCAAGACAGAAATGTGCAAGAAAGACCGAAGGTACAATTTTAGTGTCTTTCATGATATTTCCACATATATTCACCTTTTTAGGTAAATAATGTGTTTATGAGTAAGGTGTTAGAAGCAAAAAGGCTATCAGAAGTGGAACAGAGTGTTTTGGGTTTTGCTATGTAGTTATAGCAAGGAAAACAGCTGGATTTAATCACAGACATTTGTATGTGGAATGTTAGCAACCCAAGTAGAATTCATAGTCTATTATATATCATTATTGGGTTGTTTTGCTACATTATAGGTACAAAGTAATTGTTCATTCACCAAGACGAACTTACAGAAAGGTGGAACAAAAAGTGGAAACCAGACGATCAGTGCTTTTCTATACCTACCCGCGCGCGCGTATGTGTGTGTGCGCGTGTGCAGTGTGCGCGTGTGTGGTGTGCGCGTGGGTGTGTGCGAATATCAAGGCTTCCAGTTTTAAGGCAGGGTGCAATTTAGTTTTTGAAAATGAGAGCGCCGCGCCCTATTGTCCTGTTTTAGCTCAAATACAGCCGTACTCTATCTGTACTTGTAATAACAGGTTTATTTAATTGATATTTTCTTCATTAATTAAACTACATTATCCATCATATATAACAACTCGGATTGGAAATAAATTTGAAGTTTAATGATTAATTCACAAAAAAAATGTATATGTTGAATGTTCCAGGACAGCGTTTTCAGAGCAGTTTAAAGCACTTGACAAGGAAGGTTGTGGGAAACTACCCAAAGGTTTGATCTGTCAGATGCTGAAGGAGGAAAACCTTGACGACGACCAAATCGAAGCTATGTTTAGTCGTCTTGATGCCAATGATGACGGCGTTATCTCTCGCGAGGAATTTATGGGCATGGTGTGACGTCACTAACTACAATCTGCTAAGGTGTAAATGTTCTGTTAGTAATTCATCTCGTGTTGATAAAAAGAACAAAACAAAAACGAAGCTAACATAAAATTTACATTGTATACATCTTTAGGCAATATAAACAAATAACAAGATCACATTTAAACGGTGTGTAATTTTCTAGCTTTCCTCCTTTCTCAATCTTTGTTGTCGCAGAACATTTCATATTTTACTTTCACAATACTCAATGAAGGAATAAAATGGTCTAAAACATTTTGTTTCGTTATTCTTGTATTTCATTTTTATCTTTTGACCATATCGTTCTTAGATTTTTATCGGAAAGTTTATTTATACGTCAATGTACAGAGAATATTATTCAGAATGTAAATTTGCAGTATCTCGAGTTCGAACCTCGAGATACCCAAAGATATGTCAGTTATCCAATGATCACAATTCCAGATATCCAGGGTTCACTCGAAATATCGATATCCAGTGATTACACCTACCAGTGTCACTTTTATCTCGATATCAAGTTATTATACTGTACCGTCGAGATACCTACTTACCACACCTACCAGTTTACAAGATAATCAGTAATAAAACTTCCAGATATCCGTGGTTTCATCTGCAGATATAGTGTGATCACTGCCTGATTTCATGTATCGTGTTGTTAATTGCTTTTTCATGACTTTTTGCTTTCTAATTCACCTTCATCCAATCGTCTTGGGTCTACCCCCAATCGTCTCCTCGGATACACAGCCATACCCTTAACATCACAGACGATGGAGCTGTATGATACAATTTCTTATTGTTAAGAATTGCAATGCACTGTTCACTATTCAGTCACACACATTTCTATAAAACTCTACCGTGTTAATCAAGCTATATATATTCATTCTGGACCCTCTCGCTCCTGATAAGGCATGAACAAAGAAATCGCATGTTTCATGTTTCTAGATGTAGGAAGAAAATGGCGGATTTTTTTAAAACTTTCGAGCTTCTGTACTGTATTTACTTTTCGATGGGCAATGTGTTACAGACATGTCATAGGAGAAAACCTGTTTTCGTTTACTATGTAGGCTTTCTATATACTGCCCTTACTTACATACGGATGTCATTTGTGTAGAAAGGCTGAATTTCGAAACGGATACCGTATTGAAATAATAACTCGCAAAAAACTTCGATGGAAATGAGTCGGTAAGAGCACATTGCAGGCGCGTTCGGTAACAAACTCTGTCAAGCTCTTGTGTCAAATTGCAGGCGCGTTCGGTAACAAACTCTGTCAAGCTCTTGTGTCAAATTGCAGGCGCGTTCGGTAACAAACTCTGTCAAGCTCTTGTGTCAAATTTCAGGCGCGTTCGGTAACAAGCTCTTCCCACCTCTCGCTTATTGGATGAAATGGGTCTCTGATGTAGATAGAAAGGAAGGCTATTTGAAAACAGAGCTGTATTTCTTATGATAACTTTAATCAAATTTTAAATGGATTTGCAGGGAAGTTGACATAAAGCAATAACGTTTTTTAATCAGCTGTTGAATCTTAATATATTCAGGGAAACCCAATTTCGTCATGTCATAGTTATACATTATAGAGTTAGGTCTCCAAACAAAATTAGAAAGCTGAAAAAACTAACCCAGAGCCATACCGTTTCTTACAGTTGTTCAGTTAAAATGCCATTCGAGAAAAAAATTAACAAGATTCCACGTCAAGATTATAAATCCAACCAAATTTGAAAGAGATCAGTTGAACAATGGGAAAGGGACACCTTCAGACAACATTAAAATGCTGAAGAAGCAAAGGGGCATAGGTCTTATGATCTTCTGGTCATTTAAACGCAGTTTAATAAATAAAATGTCTGTTGAGGTGGATGTTCGTTGGGGGATATAGGGAAGGAGGAGGATGTCTACAACTTCAAAGCTATTTGAATGGAAACAAAATCACACCATATATAACTTTCCGTCGAAATGGCCAACGTATAAACGAATTTATTTCACTCCTACATATACAAAATGAAGTACGACAGAGTAAAATTCTGGATGGAAAATTTCAATGAAATTAACCATGCATGTAACCTAAGGCTAGCGTGACTGTCTGGTAAGGTGATACCTTCAAGTTTAAAACCCCACCTGTAGCTGAGCTCAGCCGCGCCGTGACATGCCTGAATGAGCAGGTTGAAATTTGGGCAGTATGTCTACTGTTGTAACTACCTCTCAAGTTTGATAGCAAGCACGGCGGAGAGAATTGTTGTTTTGTTCAACAAAAGTAAAACCTTACAACAGGAGACGGGGGTACAAAGGCAGCAGAATCAACAGGGAAAACTGTAAACCTGTCCGTAACTGGGAAGAAACAAGTTGTGGACTAAACAGAGGTCCTAGTATGGAGTCGTTTTACTTCACACAAATCATAGAATCCATACCTAGATGTGTAGGTTATGTGTATATATCATTGTTATGTACATATAGTGTTGTTTTGATAGACCGTTTGACACAGTTCTTCATGTAAACCATCTCCTCGATACTCCAGGAGTTACGATCACTTTCGCTTTCTGTACGTAATAGTGGGCGTGGCCCCTGGAGTACCGAGGATCGGAAGTCGAGTGTACAAACAAGGGGATAGATATCATAAACGTCAGTGATATTCTACATCATAAAACCATCGACGCTAGTATTCCACCAAACACTTGATAAACAAGTTCTCCGTTCATTTCTGTCATATTCCTTCAACCCCCCCCCCCCCCCCCCCCCCGTCAACTGACATAGGATACCCTGAGTATGATAATATTTCACCGTAAATACGTAATGTTTGAAAAAAAAAACACAACAAAAGTTACATATCCACCGAAATGGACTAATGTTTTGTTTATTTGTTTTAAATCAACAGACTTGATGATCTAACTACTATCAATGAGAGGTGTGTACTTCACTTTTTTTATCAAACATTACGTATTTACGGTCACATCCGGTAGTAACTGTGTGGTGAATCAACCAAACACACTTTAGATAAAGTATGTGATTCCTTAACGAATACTTATAGCGACCTCTGACCTGCAGTAAATACAATGTAATACAATTAATTCTTGACACCAAATCGGACGTCACCGGCTTGTTAATTTATAAAAAAAAAATATATGTTGTTTAATTAAGTTTTAAAAAATACTCAAAACAGATTACTGTATCATTAGGAATTATTAGGGAAATTTAAATATAAATTATCGATGTTATATCTAAGTCTGCCAGTCAAGTGTTTCCAATTTTGCTAGATCAGCCGTTTATCTAATCACCAAAGGATCTCCAGTGTTACACATTAAGACACATTAATATATGTTCTACTCCGTAGGTTCGACCTGCTGTGTCAATTTAACTACAGTAAGGAAGAAATTGATATTTTTTTAAGTAGAGGAACCTGTATGTTTAATCGAATACAATACGAGATACCATTCATAAAACCCTAAATTGTTTGCATCAGATTTCGGGTCAAAACACCTTGCATTCAACATAATAGGACAATCAGACAGAATTCCTGAGCTAGCGAGAAATTTGAAACTGTTTTCGAACACTGTTTACACTCTTCTTTTACTAACGAATTCCGCATGATAGCACATAATGAAAACACATATACCATGTGAAATGACCTTCCTTTATACAATCCGCCAAACTCCTGTGTATAACCTACCGTCAGGTTAATTTATACGACGATATATATATATATATCAGCCAAGGGCTTCTGTATAGTCACCAGCTCCACTTGAAATCATTATGTTTATACGAAAAAGCAAATTATAGTAAGGAGCGAGAAAAAATAAGACATTATCAACAGTTATTACTCATTATAAATGTACTCTCTCAAACTTTGTATATGAATAAGATATTGAATAAAAATATACATCGTGTGATTAAGTTTTTAAAAAAAGATATCAACATTGATTTTTTACATGCAGCTAATTTCAGGTATACGTGACGTCGTAAATCTGAATTAGTCTTGTTTAGTCATGAAATTTCCACTTCCTGTCTCGACAATCTTTCATTCTTCTAGTCTCTCCTAGCCCACGTAATCGTTGTCACCAGAACGCTGACGTGGCTGGAGAGCCTGACCATAAAAAGGGGGAGAGGTCAGAATAATACTGACAAGAGAAATTCCTGACTCGTTAGACACCAAGCTACACACACACACATGCTTTAATTTATGACTGCCTGTTATCATGACGGACATACATACATCTATTTTGATGAGCGCCTCCAGTTTGCTATAGGGAAAGTTTGCTGCTAGAAGTGCTTCCAATTATCTGTCGGGGTTTGCGTCACACTGTCCACGCATAAGCTCTGGAAACCTGACCGTATATATTCATTGTGAAGTCAGCTACCGTGAACATTGGACTGTCCATTCGCTGTGAACTGTCCATTCGCTGCTTTCAATATATTTCGGTGTACAGCCTTGAAGTGTTGTGACCTTGTCGAGCGTCAGTACGAAGGATGGCCTGCAGTGAGGAAAAATTGACGGACATATTCCAAAAGGCCGAAACTAGTGGAGATGGGGTAGTAACGCCTGTGGAACTCAAAAAGTTAATCCAGAATGAATTTGGGAATGACATAAGCAACGAGGATCTTGTGGTAAGACTTTAAGTTAAAACTTTAAAACTTCTAACGTAGAGTACAACGCAAGTTCTTCGTATGCCGTTTATTTTCATTTATTTAACGAACCGATAGCTATTTTACGGAGCCCGTTAACTGACATGCTCCATACTTATTTTATTTCGTTTTTTCGAAATACTATTTCGTTTAAACGAAATAATATTTCGAAATAACGAATTAATATTCCGAAAAAACGAAATAGAATAAGTATGGAGCATGTCAGTTAACGGGCTCCGTACTATTTGTTAAAAGGTTTAGATGTACTTATGGTTAAGAGCCCAAATTATCACATTCATTTCTCCGATTGAATGTATCTTTTTCGGACGAATGTCAGAGCAGAAATTTGTGAACTAAGGAGTTTTTTGTCGCTTGTTTGCCGGGTTTATCGTCCCGTCAACAAACAAATCATCTTGAGGTGCATTATCCTTGTGACAATTGGTTGCTACATCACAGAACAATATGCGGGATATCCACCGCATGCTGTCTAGAACAACAGGTCAGCAGAAGACGACATCAACTGATCCAAATACTGATTATAAACACCTCTAATCTACACCCCGGGTTATACAGCTCTAGACCGAATATTTCTCTCTCCAGAATGATAATAAATGTCAATATTCACATCTATTTTCCTGATAATGACATTTACGTATTTATTGACTATGCGCATTTTAGAGACAGATCGAGTTGGTACTAAAAATTGTATTAAAAGTGGTAGGAATACATCCACAATGGATTCGGGGAATTAAACAATTGTTCCTGCGACGTACCCAGAAAACTTGAGCAAATTTATTAGCCTCACTTGTTTAGACTTTACAGCTTGCTGTAGTAATGCCATTTTAGTGTGTGCTTTTTCTCTCTCCGCCATGACCAGTTTTACTAATAACAGCTTTGCCTCGCCCAATAGCACTGGACAGTATATATTAAACTGTCATTTTAGAGACAGAAATTGTCGGCCTAACTCAGCTCTACAGAATGAGTTGTAGTGGCTGTTATTAGACTTACCAATCAGATACCAGAAACCTGAATTAATACGTTATATTACAGTATATACAATGATATGCCGACAAGCCTGTCAAATTTCAGTATAACAAGGCTTACTGAAGGTAAGACCACCTGTTGGCTCTACAGATCAGGACGAGTAAATTTTGTATACATGTGGACACTTAATCACGTTAGATAACAGATGTCATCCATCCAAAGATATAAAGAATTTACTTACAATTTGTTAGTATGAAATGTTAGTATGTTTTACACTAACATCAGATTCCCTTATAATAGAAAGATGGACTCTTTGCAGCGGAACGAAACATTTTTTGGATGTTTCAAGTCAATCGCCCCGTGACGCCTATCACGGACTTAAAATGATCGCTTGTGTATTGTGTGTGTTGTTTGTGTATTGTTTGTGTATTTGCGCAACGAAACGTGACGGCTGTCTGCCCTCAGTCGTGATCCGATAGTATGGTGTCTTATAATTGCAATATACCCGAGATATTTCCGGCATTTTCCGGAAATCAGTTCCGAAGATTCCCGGAACTTCCCACAGAATGTGATTGAATAATATTGTATATATGTGTCGGTGCATTTTCTTTCCCCAGTTAACATTGATTACTTAAATGTAGATTGGTCATCGCGTGAATTAGAATTAGTTTGTGCTTTTGTCATCATGTACAGTTGTACTGAAGGAACTAGATACTGTGTACGGTCTATGGTTCTAACTCTACTGGCACTCTCTGCCGCTTTTCATTTATCGTTAAAGTGCCGTAATATACTGAGCGTTCCGCGCCGTTGTGATTGTGTCAGCAAAACAAAAAATAAAACATGAAAATGACGACATATCCCAACATTTTAATTCAGTTCAAAATTGATGAAAAGATATCAAAATATGAACAAAGGAACGAGTCAAATAGAAACCACTGAAAAATATCTGGAAGGGTAAGAAGCGTGTTCTGCTGACAACGACACCCACCATGTATATATTGGTCAATCCATGTATCTTATATTTGAGTCACATTCCATATAGATCACAAAGTTAACCAAATAAGGAGTTACTTCCCCTTACAATATTTTACAGTTTTGTAGCATATGCATAAAATAAATGGATTAACATAAATGTTTACTATAATGTATACATTTTTCATGCTGTTCCTACTTGGAATATTGTAGGCTATGTTCTGTGCCCTTGACAGAAATGGAGATGGCGTTATCACCTTGGAGGAGTTCTTGAAAGAAATGTCCAAGAAAGACCGAAGGTACAATTTTAGTGTCTTTCGTGATATTACATTCAAACAATGTATTTATAAGTATGGTAATAGAAGCAAAAAGGTTATCAGAAGTGGAACAGATTTTTTTTTTTTTTTTTTTTGGGGGGGGGTTGCTATGTACTTATAGTAAGGAAAACAGCTGGAGAGAGAAAGAGACAGAGAGAGATAGAGAGAGATAGAAAGAGAAGAGAGAGACAGAGACAGAGAGAGAGAGACAGAGAGAGAGAGACAGAGACAGAGAGAGAGAGACAGAGTGAGAGATAGAAAGAGAGACAGAAAGAGAGAGAGAGAGAGAGAGAGAGAGAGAGAGAGAGAGAGAGAGAGAGAGAGAGAGAGAGAGAGAGAGAGAGAGAAAGAGAGACAGACAGAGAAGAGAGAGAGAGAGACAGAGAGAGAGTTACATAGAGAGAGACAAAGACAGAGACAAAGACAGAGAGAGAGAGAGAGATGTATGTTGATAAGAGACAGAGAGAGACAGAGACAGAGAGAAGAAACAGAAAGAGACAGAGAGAGAGAGACTGAGACAGAGACAGAGACAGAGACAGAGAGAGACAGAGACAGAGAGAGAGAGACAGAGACAGAGACAGAGACAGAGACAAGACAGACAGAGAGGAAGAAACAGAAAAGAGAGAGAGAGAGAGAGAAAGAGAGAGAGAGAGAGAGACAGAGAGAGAGAGAGAGAGAGAGAGAGAGAGAGAGAGAGAGAGAGAGAGAGAGAGAGAGAGAGAGAGAGAGAGAGAGAGAGAGAGAGAGAGAGAGAGAGAGAGAGAGAGAGAGAGAGAGAGAGAGAGAGAGAGAGAGAGAGAGAGAGAGAGAGAGAGAGAGAGAGAGAGAGAGAGAGAGAGAGAGAGAGAGAGAGAGAGAGAGAGATATCAAAAAGATAATGAAAGTTACCCCAAGTAGACTCTGACAACATTTTTGACAAAAAATGACGGGATGGTGAAAACATTTAGTTTTTACTCTGCTCTCCCGTTCTAGCGAAACTACTGCCGTACTGTATACATAATAGAAGGTAAGTATAATCTATGTCATATATCATCATATATAACTGGGATGGAAAATTAATCTACAGTTTAATTATTAATACACATCAAAAGTTTATGCTGAATGTTTCAGGACAGCGTTTTCAGAGAAGTTTAAAGAACTTGACAAGGAAGGTTGCGGGAAACTATCCAAAGATGTGATCTGTCAGATGCTGAAGGAGGAAAACTTTGACGACGACCAAATCAATGAAATGTTTAGTCATGTGGATACCAATGATGACGGCGTTATCTCTCGCGAGGAATTTATGGCCATGGTGTGACGTCACTAACTACAATCTGCCAAGGTGTACAATAATTCTTATAAGGTAGATTCTTAAAAGAGTAGTATGTAGCTTTTAATGACACATAGTGATCTCAAATATCCAACATATACACTGAAAACGTCACCATTGTGTAAGAATATCGACGTAAACATCATTCCTGGAACATAGACCGAGTACCAGTCGTGTTGTCGTAATTTTGTCCTTGACTAAGATGGGTAACCCGTATTGCACTGAAGGGACGGACCTCCCATATGTTGTTCAGGAAGGTGGCTTATAGCTACTGCCTCAAATATTTATCAAGCTGTTCAAGGGGAGATAAACCAAACAAACACACATAAAGATGCCTTTGCCAATTACTTCTTTATCATTGTCTGAAGACTTTGGTTCTTGTATAACAGACAAAAAATATGTATATTTTTATAGAATATTTATATATATGACGCATTCCATTAGTCCTTAGTTATCGAAAAAAGTAGTATTTTTAATGTAGGAATTAAACGTTTAAAACGTTTTGTTTCGTTGTTTTTATATTTCATTTTTATCTTTTGATCTTAAATGCATATCATTGTTAGATTTCCATGGAAAGTTTTTATATACGACAATGTACAGTAATTATTCTTTAAAATATATATTTATAATATTTCGTGTTCGAACTTCAAGATACTCAAAGATATCCCAGATATTCGATGATCACAATTTCAGATATCTAGGATTCACTCGAAATATCGATATCCAGCGATCACACCTACCATTGTCACGTTTACCATACTTCTCGATACCAGTTATTTTCCTTACCTAGAGATATCTACTGATTACACCTGTCACGTTTGACCATATATACCAGTTAATTTCCTTACCTAGAGATATCTACTGATTACACCTGTCACGTTTACCATACTTCTCGATACCAGTTAATTTCCTTACCTAGAGATATCTACTGATTACACCTGTCACGTTTACCATACTTCTCGATACCAGTTAATTTCCTTACCTAGAGATATCTACTGATTACACCTGTCACGTTTACTTCAGTTAATTTCCTTACCTGTCACGTTTACCATACTTCTCGATACCAGTTACCATTGTCACGTTTCCTACTTCTCGATACCTAGAGATACTGATTACACCTGTCACGTTTACCATACTTCTCGATACCAGTTAATTTCCTTACCTAGAGATATCTACTGAACACACACCATTGTCACGTTTACCATACTTCTCGATACCAGTTAATTTCCTTACCTAGAGATATCTACTGATTACACCTGTCACGTTTACCATACTTCTCGATACCAGTTAATTTCCTTACCTAGAGATATCTACTGACACACCTACCTGTCACGTTTACCATACTTCTCGATACCAGTTAATTTCCTTACCTAGAGATATCTACTGATTACACCTACCATTGTCACGTTTACCATACTTCTCGATACCAGTTAATTTCCTTACCTAGAGATATCTACTGATTACACCTACCATTGTCACGTTTACCATACTTCTCGATACCAGTTAATTTCCTTACCTAGAGATATCTACTGATTACACCTACCATTGTCACGTTTACCATACTTCTCGATACCAGTTAATTTCCTTACCGTTTACCATACTTCTCGATACCAGTTATTTTCCATACCTAGAGACATCTACTGATCATACCTACCATTGTCACGTTTACCATACTTCTCGATACCAGTTAATTTCCTTACCTAGAGATATCTACTGATTACACCTATCATTGTCTCGTTTACCATACTTCTCGATACCAGTTAATTTCCTTACCTAGAGATATCTACTGATTACACCTACCATTGTCACGTTTACCATACTTCTCGATACCAGTTAATTTCCTTACCTAGAGATATCTACTGACTGAACACACTACATTGTCACGTTTACCATACTTCTCGATACCAGTTATTTTCCATACCTAGAGACATCTACTGATCATACCTACCATTGTCACGTTTACCATACTTCTCGATACCAGTTAATTTCCTTACCTAGAGATATCTAATGAACACACCTACCATTGTCACGTTTACCATACTTCTCGATACCAGTTAATTTCCTTACCTAGAGATATCTACTGATTACACCTACCATTGTCACGTTTACCATACTTCTCGATACCAGTTAATTTCCTTACCTAGAGATATCTACTGATTACACCTACCATTGTCACGTTTACCATACTTCTCGATACCAGTTAATTTCCTTACCTAGAGATATCTACTGATTACACCTGTCACGTTTACCATACTTCTCGATACCAGTTAATTTCCTTACCTAGAGATATCTAATGAACACACCTACCATTGTCACGTTTACCATACTTCTCGATACCAGTTAATTTCCTTACCTAGAGATATCTACTGATTACACCTGTCACGTTTACCATACTTCTCGATACCAGTTAATTTCCTTACCTAGAGATATCTACTGACCACACCTACCATTGTCACGTTTACCATACTTCTCGATACCAGTTAATTTCCTTACCTAGAGATATCTACTGATTACACCTGTCACGTTTACCATACTTCTCGATACCAGTTATTTTCCATACCTAGAGACATCTACTGATCATACCTACCATTGTCACGTTTACCATACTTCTCGATACCAGTTAATTTCCTTACCTAGAGATATCTACTGACACACCTATCACGTTTACCATACTTCTCGATACCAGTTAATTTCCTTACCTAGAGATATCTACTGATTACACCTGTCACGTTTACCATACTTCTCGATACCAGTTAATTTCCTTACCTAGAGATATCTACTGATTACACCTGTCACGTTTACCATATATCTAATAACAGTTAATTTCCACCTAGAGATATCCTGAACACACCTACCATTGTCACGTTTACCATACTTCTCGATACCAGTTAATTTCCTTACCTAGAGATATCTAATGATTACACCTGTCACGTTTACCATACTTCTCGATACCAGTTAATTTCCTTACCTAGAGATATCTACTGATTACACCTACCATTGTCACGTTTACCATACTTCTCGATACCAGTTAATTTCCTTACCTAGAGATATCTAATGAACACACCTACCATTGTCACGTTTACCATACTTCTCGATACCAGTTAATTTCCTTACCTAGAAATATCTACTGATTACACCTGTCACGTTTACCATACTTCTCGATACCAGTTAATTTCCTTACCTAGAGATATCTAATGAACACACCTACCATTTTCACGTTTACCATACTTCTCGATACCAGTTAATTTCCTTACCTAGAGATATCTACTGATTACACCTGTCACGTTTACCATACTTCTCGATACCAGTTAATTTCCTTACCTAGAGATATCTAATGAACACACCTACCATTTTCACGTTTACCATACTTCTCGATACCAGTAAATTTCCTTACCTAGAGATATCTACTGATTACACCTGTCACGTTTACCATACTTCTCGATACCAGTTAATTTCCTTACCTAGAGATATCTACTGATTACACCTACCATTGTCACGTTTACCATACTTCTCGATACCAGTTAATTTCCTTACCTAGAGATATCTACTGACCACACCTACCATTGTCACGTTTACCATACTTCTCGATACCAGTTATTTTCCTTACCTAGAGATATCTACTGATTACACCTACCATTGTCACGTTTGACCATACTTCTCGATACCAGTTAATTTCCTTACCTAGAGATATCTACTGATTACACCTGTCACGTTTACCATACTTCTCGATACCAGTTAATTTCCTTACCTAGAGATATCTACTGATTACACCTGTCACGTTTACCATACTTCTCGATACCAGTTATTTTCCTTACCTAGAGATATCTACTGATTACACCTACCAGTTTACAAAATGATCAGTCATAAAACCTCCAGATATCCGTGGTTTAATACATATGTATCGAGTGATCACACCCAGATTTCATGTATCGCGTTATTAATTTCTTTTTCATAACATTTCCTGATTTCCCCTTCATTCAATCATTTTGGAAAACTATTTTAAAACAGAGCTCAATTTTTTTTATAATAATGTTTAACAAATTTTATCAAATAAAGCAATAACTTTTTAAATAAGTTGTTGAATCTTGACATATTCAGGGAAACCCAATATCGTCATGTCATAGTTATGTCATTATAGAGTTAGGTCTCCAAACAAAATTAGAAAGCTGAAAAAACTAACCCAGAGCCATACCGTTTCTTACAGTTGTTCAGTTAAAATGCCGCTCGAGAAAAATTTAACAAGATTCCACGTCAAGATTTTAAAGCCATACATTTTCAAAGAAATTCGTCAAAACTGATGGGAGATCTCCGAAAACAAAATTCCAACAATAACTCCACCAGAATTGTTCAATCGAAATGCCGTTACAGAAAACACACTTTCTTATCAGAATTATAAAGCCTACCAAGTTTGAAAGAGGTCAGTTGAAAATGGGAAAGGGACACCTGCAGACAACATTAAAACGCTGAAGAAGCAAAGGGGCACAACTCTTATGATCTTCTGACTGTCTGGGTAGGTCATATCCTAAAGTTTTAAAACCCACCTGTAGCTGAGTTCAGCCGCATCCGTGACATGCCTGAATTAGCAGGTTGAATTTTAGACAGTGTGTCTTCTAATGTAACCATCTCTCTGATTTCAAACGAGTTTGAATTAACCCATGAATACATTTAAAGAGGAAACAGATATCTAAATATTTCCGGTGCGTGTTTTCTAAACAAGGTAAGTTAACTAATAAACATAAGAATATCAACAAATATCAACGTTCGCATTAAATGATAGACACTTAAAACTCTATACCATTTCTTGCTGTCTTTGTACCGTTTCTAGTAGGTTTATAATGTAGATTGCTGCGGAGACCAGGGTCCGTATTCATGAAACCGTTCTCATGCTCAAGCATGAATTTTATGCTCAAGCCTTATGCCTTGTTTAAGATAAAAATTAATAAATAAGACTGATTTTGCCAAACATGTTTTTAAAAATTTGAAAGGACTTCAAGTCAAAGTTATATTCAATATTTATATTTGACATTTGTATTATTTTATGTGATTTAGGCGAATTATAAAAAAGGTTGCTTGAGCACAAAATCTATGCTTGAGCATGAGAATGGTTTCATGAATACGGGTCCTGATCTCGTTAGAATAATCAAAACGATTTCTAAACTGATGTTAAAAACCTTATGAAACATACTTTTTTCAGATATTTACAAGAATATTTTGAACTATCTGGTCACACTATTTCCGACCTAAGTGTACATAGGATTATTGTACAGCCGAAAAAGTTGCTCGATTCCGTGATATCTGAATGAAATCTGCCCTCCTATCAAGTAAAGATAAAGGGAAAAATTGCATTTTAAGTACAATTTAGCTCTATCAATATAATCCTGTAATTGATCATCTGTCGTGTTAATTGATCAAACATCAAAATACGGAATGTTAACGGCTAAAGGATAATTTGAGCCCA